GTTTGGTACTCAACTCATACAAAGTTCGTACAAATAATAATTTTAAATGCACGCGCGAGCTTGTAGGCGGTTCGCCAGATGTGGATGCATCCTAAGAAGATGATTTTCTGACTATTGATAATTCTTAAGGGAAGTACTTTTTCATAAGAAAATCTATTTAGCATATTTTTAACAGTCATTCAAGCATTCCCTAAAATGCAATAAAGCGAGGGACTAGTAGAATAATAGAAGAAAGTAGGTACTAGATAAGTCCACTAAGGACCCGACAAAGGTGCTATTGTCCTACGGTACGGAAACAGGCAAAGCTTATTAATATTAGGGTTGTCGACGACAACAACAAGGCCTTAAGTTTCTTGCTAGCAAGGGATTTGTTTCGCCACAAACCAAGTTAGGTAACAACCCTGCCGGTGTTGCAGACACAAGTATCGAAGATGTGACTAGCAACCCTAAGTTTCTAATCGAGTTTAGGTTTAACGAAGTTTGTAACGTTTTTTAATAAAAACTATTTCTGCTCTGGAAAGGAGAGATAAGTTGCTGAGAAAATAGTTTATTTACTTAAACAATTGCGTAAACGTTCCACGAAGGTATTGTGCAAGCTGCACTTTAGGAAATAGATATTGAACTGTACTTGGTTGAATAAAAAGAAATTGCGTAATAAAATACTCTTCTTTATTTCGTTAGTATGGCACCTGTTCCGTATTGAGAACATTCATCATCATCATCATCATCAACAGCCTATAAATGCCCACTGCTGAGCAAAGCATTTTGTCACACGGAGGAGCTTTGAGCATTAATCACCACGCTTGTTCAATGCAGGTTGGCGATTACAGACTTATAATTAGAAATTATAAGCCCAGGTTTCCTCACGATGTTTTCCTTCACCGTTTGTCAGTGGCGTCTAGATAATCTTAGAAAGTACATATAACTCGGAAACAGTCATATTGGTACTTGCCGTTGGTAGATTTCGAACCCTACATGCATGAGAAGCGAGCGTCTTAAACCCGGAGTCACCACGATATTGAGAACATTCAATGGGTTCTTATTCTTGAAAATTGGTCCTTGAAGAGTGACCGCGCTGGTTTGGAGATTTCTAAACCGTTAGGTTAGCCAAGCGTAGAGATCTCGACCCTCGCCCCACCTTGATGAAGAAGACGTCTGTTCAGGAGTTTGACATCTTCTAGCTGCTGACGAAGAAGCCTTAAAGTTGATCGTGAAACATAATCTCTGTTTACAAACCAAAAACAAATTTCGAGCAAAATTATTTTAAAAATAATTCAATTAAAAAATAATTAGGTGTTGTTCTTAAGGGTATTGTGTTACGTAATAAAAGCGAGGGTTTCTAATTATTTCTTCGCATTGTACAAGTCTTGTTTTCGTGTCTGAAGCGTTCGTTACCCACCGTGTACTCCCCGAGCTACGCTGCGGTACTTCGGTGCTCAACCCTAATTAATATGAAAGCTTACAAGTATAAATAGTTTTCAAAACATATTTTTTTTACCTTTGTTAATTTACCTTTATAAACATACATTGAATGATATTACTATATTTTAGGTTCACTGCAACCTTTTTTAAAACATTTGTTACTTTCGAAACAACTTAATTACCACCCCAATAAAGTTGATATTTGTTTGTAAATTAGAAACGAGTATTTAATAGGGATGGAATCTAAAGTTTGGAATTAAAGAAAACAAATTAAACAAGTAACCTCATTTGATTTGATTTATTTTCGTAATATTCAACTGTTGACAGATAACAAATGATCTTACAATATCCAATTTGTACATAATGACTTAAGAAAATATGGCAACACTCATATTTTAACAATAAATACACGCTAGTACTCTGGTGTTATGGTTTTAGAGGTTGTATAGAAAACTAACTAGCAAGGGAAGTCACGTGTGTTATTGGAGACATTCAAACTGCCTATTTCCCCACATTACTCCACATTAACTTGTTTCATGTGGCGAAATAGGTTTTATTTTTATTTATATTTGCAACCATTTTTAATAACATTACGTTACTGCGGAAAATTCGTTCGCTCGATCCTGTAAGTTGCTATGTTTATTAAACTATGGTTGAAATATGCGTCATACATGTCTAGAAACAAAGGATCGTGGGTCAAAAGTCGCGTATATCCGAGGTTTATTGCACTAGACATTCGTGTACCACAACATTCGACGTAGCTAAGACTTTGTAAATAATACACAATACCTTTGTTCTAGACACAATAAAGGGTACAATCTAAACAATGAAAACATTTAACAAGTTATTTAGACAGTCAGTGAGACGATTTCCACTTAGTTAAAACACTAGCCACTATAAATAAGCTTGTCTTTTTACAAATCATTGGCGTATGATCTAAAAATACAGTTGATATTACATATTCCAAAGCACTCCTTACGTTGAAAATGAAATTAGAAAAAGAACTGTACAAATAGACTTATTGCCTCGCAAACAAGGTACTTTATTTGGTTTTAGATTAAAAGAACACTCGATATCATGTTGATGGTACAATAAATGCGGCACTATCCTGATGGAGCTGTCACTACGCTCACGGTGGCGAGCCGCAGGCGCTGCACTATTTCCCTTTCAAATTGAATTTTGCGTCAACCGCCATTATTGTTCGTGGTCGAACTGTTTTGATTACATCAAGTGCCGTCATGCTCCACATTTCCCATTAATAATTCAAACGTTAACGCACCTGCCACAGCTTCCCCGTGAACATAGCCACAACCGCGCGAAGCGATGATTTTATAATATACAACACAATTTATTTGTTATTTTATTTATAGTACGTATAGCAAGATCTTGAGATCTACAACATGTCCTCGTCCAACGAACAACTTTCGACTGTTATATAAAATTGAATGAAAAAAGTTTAGCAGCTAAAGTTCTCCGTAATACTTTCAACAAACAACGGTATTCAAGTCTTAGTAGAGAAGTAGATTGACGGCCAAACTGTAGTGAGAACCGCACAGTATCCGACACTACGTGGACTCGTCCTAACAACATCTTATAGACAATAACGAAGTGTAACAATAGTCGCGACCCGCCGCCGGCCGGCTCGCGGCGCGCGGTCTCGCCCGCACTCGTTCGTTGAAAAACTTGATACGGCGACCACATTATTCATCGCACAATCAACTTAATTTTAATCTATAAACATCTCTTTAAAATATCTGATATGAAGAATAACTATTCTAAAATTATCTTGTGCGCTAACATGCAAATACAAGGAAGACGATAATTATTATTACAAAATCATTGAAACGCAAGTTTTCCAACGAACACCTCGATCTAAAGAGAAAGTACATTTATTCGTAAGTAAATCACATTAGAATTGATGAATAATAACGTGGTGCTTGAAATTATTATTCGGTGACACTTTAAAATACATTAAGTCGAAATGTAAAAATATTTACATCGGCTGTCCATCACCGGCACCGCTAGCTGTCCACGCAATCCGCGCGCAATGTACGCGCCAAACATCTACATCGTTTCTCCGCGCACTGTAACGTGCTGTAACGCTCCAGCAGTCTGGTACGCGTCACTTGACACGCTTCAATACAAACACTGAATGCCACTCTGGATCCACTTCCATCCGATAGATGTCGCGATGCGAGCGCGCGGCCCCATCGCGAGTGTCGTCGGTACCTCATACGTCTCATATCGACACTGTAATACTGCAGAATACCTACGATGACATCGATCCCCGTCAACACAATGATCGAGCATCACAATTTACAACTTGTACGACTAGGTATGTTTAACGTTTATAAATTTCAGAAAAGACCTATCTAGTATACTATAAGTTTGCTACGCATTAATATATACCTATTACGACTACTCTGAACTCTCTGACCAATCATACCGATACGATATTTCCGAACACAAATCTACGTTCAGACGTCAAGTTTCCGAATATTTGAATCATAATAACGAAGCGACGAATCATAATTTTTATTATATATTTTGGCAGTTTTAAAATAAGAAAATTATTATTATGCATTATACCGCCACAAAAATACTTTATCGATCGCTTTTGATAGCGACTATGCCTAAGAAATTAAAAGTAGAGACTGCGCTTTGAAAGCCCCGTTTCAGCGTAGAATACAAACATTTGGATTTTATCGTTCTTTTTTTAAAGTTAGGCTCAGAGTCGAGACACGTTCTCCGTTCACTGACCGAAAAATAGGGGTCATGAAGCATTGCAGCGCACAAAACATTATGTTCGTGAAGCGAAGTAATGCTTAAGATCTGGTAGTGTATTTTCGTTACCCGCAATGCGGCAATATTACGGTAAAATCATTTGTGAAATAGTCAACAGTGCCCGGTGACCTTGGCTCTGAATTATTACATGTCACTTGCAAATTGATAAAATTCTAACAGTTCTTCGCTCCAAGACCACAATGTTGTATATTAAAGAGCGTGAAAACCGGGTACCTAATAAACCACAAATTTAATCTTATCAAAAACTTTATTGATGTTGATGTGTTATTATGTTATAACAACTAAGTAATAATCCCAGTTCCGATAAATTATTTCATGGAAAAAATATAAGAACCCAGTTCTCACGCCCTTGCGAGTTCACAAATTCGCATACAAAAATTAACGTAAAACGACACGATGGTAAACTATTCACCTTTGGCTTACAACCACGGTCGATGAATAACTTGAAGCCACATCATCATATCCACATAATTAGACCTGGGTTGCGTCACATTTGCATGCGAGTTCTGTATTCCGCAAATTTTCCTGTTATCGTAATAATAAACATTATGTTATCCTTAAAGTTACAACATTCAACAAATATTCTTAGGAATTATTTGTTACTGGGTTAATCGCAAAGCACGGTAGATAAGATATATGTATGTATCGATGATGCAATGTATGCAGCGGCGATGGCGTGACGTGTGACGGCCACCATGAGCCCGCGGTCGGAGCACAGAGCTCGCATGCGACGAACCTCCCCTCGGCCGAGGCGACGACCGGCGACACCTCGTCTACGCGTCTTCGTTGAGTTTCTTGAATAGTAAGGTCTCCTCAAAGATATACTTCTTGAGTGTCTCTTTGGGAAGGTCGTCGAGTTCCATCGCGAATCGGAACGGTTCCTCCGCCACGGGCTGTAATTAAAATTCGTCTTTGAACGTTGTTCGACTGCGTAACTAATTTTCTTTACTGAACACAATTGTGTACTCAATTAGGAGAATGTGTTCAGTCTGTTTGAATTAATACTAGACAATTTGCAGTTTAATCAAGTTGCTGACGAAAACAAAGGTCTTTTGTGAACATCAAAAGGTAAAAATAAAATTAACTATACATAGAAAATATTAACAAATTGTGTTTAAACTACTAGCTTGTACAAATCATACCTCATCGTTGGGGTCATAGTACTGTTCGAGGTAGGGGTGCGCAAGCGCCTCCTCGACGGTGATGCGCTTGTGTGGGTTGAAGGTTAACATGCGGTGAAGCAAGTCGAGTGCGCGAGGATCGGCGCCCGGGAAGAGCTCCGCCCATGGCACCCGAGGCTTGTACGGCAAAGACTCCAAGTAGCCTCGAGCCTAGAGAAACGGAGTTTTATTTAGCATTTTAAATAAAACATATTTCTTATTTGAAACTTCATGTGTAATTTGCCAGATCTTAACGTATCATAAAACACGTCCAATATAAATTCTATACGAGTAGAGCAAAATGAAAACATCGAACAAAATACGGTCGAGATTTTTAACATCGCTATTCTCACATCTAGTTATTTTCAGACCCAAACACATAAAAGCCGTTTCCAAGTACAATAAGGGCCTTTAACAAAAAACAAAAATCATTGAATTCGGTAAAAATTCGACGAAACTATCGAGTAGGATCACCACAAAAAGGGGCACCGCCATTAAGAAAACTCGTGGCGACCGACTTAAATTGAATCTATGGTCAAAGTTCATATCTTATTCAGGAACGTGTACCAAGAAGGAACCGTAAAGTTTTCCCGATTGCCCGATTGACTGAGCCCGAAATCTAGGAGACAATGTGAATAAGTAAAGATCGGGTAGCCTACATAGGTACACTTGGTATGGACTAGCTAGAATAAAAGGTACTGGAGTACCTAAACATTAAATCATTTTAAAATAAACGAAAAAACGTTTACTGTAGGTACCGTAGTAATTTATATCAATAAAACATTTTAGTTATTTGCACGATAGAATAAAAAACAGTTAATCTTTTACAAAGAGTATTTATTCCTTGAGTTCTTCTAGCACAAAATGCACCCACTGTCTAATTATAGTCCCAAAATCATAAAAGGAGAGATAGGTGACTATCTAAATGCATGTCCGGTACCTATATCATCCTACACGTATTTACTCGGTACGAATAAACAATAGCCGGTCACAAATTGCAAGCCACACATGTGACTTTGTTTGATGTTTTGACTACAACACTAAACAAAACAAAGGTGTTGTTTGTCCACGTATTTGTGCTGTTACGGACGGGGGTACACCTGCACTATAAAACGTAACGACTATTAAAAATAATTTATTTTAGTATGGTACATCCCTGTTGTGAAATAATTGAAATATACGTTTAAAGTTCTCACGTAACTGTTTGAGGACGCTCTACTGGTTTCAAATGACGAGCGGGGCTCATAATTATGAGGGCAAATATTGTTTTAATTGTAACATTTTGCTTGATTTTAAGTCACCAGTAATACAACGAGGATTTTTAACTTTAATCTAATATAATTGGAAATCTAATAAAGATAGACCGATTGGACTCGGTTAACCTGCTGGCGTTTGTTATTGGTACGTACGTATAACCGAGTTCACGTGTATAGAGAGGGACCTAAGTACACATTGACCGAAAGGTTTGAACACGAGCCAATTTCACGAGCTTGTCGCGTTGACACAAGTTCTGTACCTACGTTTACTTTTCCCTGACTAATGCCCGCAATATCGATGGCGTGAAATTTTGCCGGAAAATAGAGGTTTTATTACTTTTTCAAAGATCTCGGATTCTTTTCCTTGATTATTGTTACTGGTCTATTCTATATGTACAATTCGAGTTACACTATGTACTATTTATAGTTTGTTTAAATTCTTTTAATCGGTTATTGATTCATATTGATTCAGTTACAAAAGCAATAAAGATGAAAATGTATTAATTGATAGACACTGCAATCAAGAAAGAAAGATACATACATAAAAATATAAAACATAACATCACGCCTTTTATCCCCGAAGAGGTAGGCAGAGGTGCACACAGAAGTAACACCCACTTTTCACTATTTATGTTATGAGTCCCATGTAATGGGGGTGAGCCTATTGCCATATACCGAGACTCCGTGCTACTACTGAGATTTTTTTTAAAAACCCAGTAATACTTTGCCCGACCCGGGAATCGAAACCGAGACCCCTTGCCCGGCAGTCGCACTTGCGACCACTCTGACAACAAATATAAAACAAGACATAATATTCTCAACGTCTCAGCCAAGCAAATACAGAGTTCCCCTTTTAGTGTGAACATTCTCAGTGCAATTCTTATTGTTATTTTTATTGTCCTTTGTAACTTTGTGATTGTTGTTGTATGCTAATAAATGTTTTTTTTGTCCTTCTACAATGCATCTTGGTAAAGTTAAGCATAACATGAGCTTTCTCATATATTGTTGTGAAGTCGACAACAAACAACAGGAGAGTACAAAGGCAAAGAGATGTATAGTTTATGACAAACAGGACTTTACATTGGACCACCTTCTTTAATACAAATTGTTGCTTAAAGCATAGCTCAACTATTATTATAAATGTAAAACTAGGCACGTTTGTTTCCTTGTTTCCACATTAAGCGTAGTATAACTTTTAAAAATGTTCCATACTTACATATAAAATTAATTAATCTTCGGCTTACTCACGTAATTATTATATGAAGAACTTGACTAGTTTCAAGCCATGCTAGAGATAGCATTCCGCGACCCGAGACGCGGCGACTGTCGCGCTGGTGACAGCAACGTAAGCCGAAAGCGTAATTACGTGAGTAACCCGAAAAACATAATAATTACTTTAGTATGTCTCACGAAAGTTATAACATAAATACTTACATATGGTTGCGACTTCGAAGAAGGAAGAAAACTATGTTACGCAAAACTATAAGTAAATAAATAAACAATAATATGTGAACATACCTTTTCGTTGATAATACAGTCAAGATCCTCCTGGCTAGGCGAGCCAAGCACACCGAGGATATGGTTCAGCTGGTCCAGGTAGTGCTTGCCCGGGAATATGGGCCGGTTGCTCAGCATCTCCGCGAGGATACACCCTACCGACCAGATGTCTATCGATTTGGTGTAACCCTGTGGACAAAGACATGTAAATAGACCTAGATTTCCACGAAAATGCTTGCAGTATATGATGCCTCTTACATATATTATTTTGTAATGGTACTTTGTCTGATACAGCCAATGAGTTATTGGTAAAAAAACAATGATTCTAAACAATTGTTTGTGTGCTTTAGTAGTTATTGAAACCCAACTCATTAGAACATTAACAAACTAGGTTTAACTTTATGTAATTAGGAATATCCCTACGTAGTTAGGTAGCCACTATGCCATTGTAGAATTATGAAAAATTGCATACATGTATGACGTATATAATAAATACATCTATAATAATAGTTAAATGAATATAATTACGGCAGTATACGAAGCAGAATAATTAATAATGTCAGCTAGAAAATAGAATCAAGAACACATAATAATACATAATCGTAAGGAAAACGGTTCCTTAAATATGGGGATTTCATGCCGTTTTTGAATCCGGGTTTAACACACACGATAATCATTTATGGATATAAGTGTATTTCTTATATATGCGAGAAATTAAAACCGTTTCTTAGACTTCAAATGTTCGAACACCAAATTAGTTCTGTGGTTGCAAGCTGTAAAATTTCGATAAAACCCTGGGATAGAAAACTTCCATCTCGTTCTCTTCGAATCAGTTAAACCGATCATAATTTGAGAAAAACGCTGACACCATTCTAGAAGCTTTGTCGCCCGGAGAACCGGGGACCGGGAGTATTCTCCGACTGCATTTAGCAATCATCAATTCCTTAAAGAAACGTATCTTATTGAACAAGATCTAGTGTATATACTTTAGAGAATATATGTATGTAAGAATGTATTGTAGTAGATGCGTAAATCTACACATTTGTTTCAAGAAAGTTGAACACGCACGGAATACATTTCGTAGACAAATAACACAGATAGTATGCTGGAATCGTACGCCTAATATTTCAAAAAGAGCGCTATTCTATTACAATTCCTAGAAATGTCCACTTGTCAAATAATAAAACAAATAAGACTAAATATTAATAATTTATTTTGGCTCATAAATAATTCACAGCTCATAGAATATTATCAATAACACTGTTCTGTTTCTATGCGAACATTATGAATTCGATTAATATTCTAAAAACATAAAAGACGGAATTTTGGAAGACACTAAACGGTCTTATACTATATGATAATATTCGTGAATTAGCTATCTTTTGGTTATTTTACAAAGCGCGATTGCTTGAAGAGGCTTCATAAAATGGCGGGGAATAATGACGGGAACATATAGACGGGAACGGAACCTTACAATAAAGACGTTGTATTGTTCCCAGTCCGTCAATAGCCCAAAAGGTCGGAGGCACAGCAGACAGTTTGGATTCATCTGTGATCACTGCCTTTTGTTGTCTAAAATAGAGTATTATCAAAACGGCTCAAACACCGAGATGGTTTTGACTACCGCAATATATTACAAACATAAATTGAAATGTTCTACTATATTTGGGGTATTTTATCGTTCAAAGCTCCCGTTATCGCATAAAACAGTCGAAATACTATTTAGGTTAGTAAATGATTAGTTGTTTCTGCTACAAAGGATTTGGAGAACCGAGCTGCGGTTTGGTCATATCGATCATGAAGTTTAGGAATCTGTTTAAAATAGTTACTGAATAGTGAAAAACCTGTCAATGAATTTTGAATCTACGTACCTTGGAATTAAGCATAATCTCCGGCGCCCTGTACCACCGAGTCGCCACGTATTCGGTAAGGAAGCCAGTGTGGTCATGATCTGGATCAGCTACACGTGCCAGACCGAAGTCGCAAATCTGTTGACAAATGTTTCTCATGAGTTTAAAAGTAAAATCACAAGTTAATGTACAATTATACGAATACATGACAGTTAAAACTCCAATTTTGTTCCTTTCATGTTCATCGTGAAACTGAAGAAACAGAATTTTGGGGTGTTCAGCTGATGGAAATTTATACAGAACAAACCGTTGCTTGTTTCCCATAAATATTAACGGTCCTTTGAGAGGCCACAAATTAAACAAAAATATTTATTACCACCATCGGGCACGCCAAGGGATTTATAATACTGGGTATATTATTATCAATAGCAGTAGTACCTATATAAAATATTCATAGGTATTCTCTCGAAACGCGTCCCTTGCGTCTTTTCCGACATCCGACGTCTTTTCGGAAAAGTGAATTGTATAGCAAACAAAGACTACGGGAGCCGGTAACAAAATAATGATAAAATTCACCTTTTTTTATTCAGTTAATATTATTACTTTTACTTGGAAAATCGAACAACAGAAATTCGGTAAGTTAATTTAAGGTATGAATTGAAGACGTAACAATAACTCTCTTAGCATTTGTTTGTCTGTTTGAATGATATGAACTTAAAAACTGCTGAACGGATTTTACTGGGGTTTTCTTATATCAGGAAGTTATGGTTATTTAGATTGTTAGCGTGTACGTGTAATAATAAGTTTGATTGCCTTGTTTCTCTGGAAAGTCTAGAAATCTAATGGCCGTTTTTGACAACCATCCCAAAACCATGTCTTAACTAAAAGTTACTCAGCGTGACGTAGCACCTTGGTCTGTTAAGTGTCACTTATAGATTGGTGAAGAATCCTTTAGAATACTTTAATATTTCATTTCACTATTAACTCTTATAATGTGTCTCAATAGGTACAAGTTAAACTTACTAAAATTAATAACACTATTCCATTATAAGTATTTATAATTATATTAGTACCCAGTTCCCCACATTACTTAACAATAATTTCGTGACAATTAATTGAGAATTCAAAGTGCTATGCAAATCTCATTTTATTAGACACGCAAGCTTTTAATATGGCTCGTAAAAGGGAAACCATAAGACTTAAGCACATCTGTGTAATGATTACGAGTTCTGAGGCGTTGGTATAATGGATTTGATGGGCTAGGGGTTGGATGTGACTGGGAGGCTGCCGGGAGGGGATGTCACGTCCATGGTTGATATTACTCAAAATATATAGAATAGAGCCAAACGTTACTTTACATAAATCCATGCTACACTAACACATCCGCTGAAGGCATTTGCAATAAAAACTAAATATTTCTCCAGTTGTTAGTATTCGTTAAAATATTTAGAATAAATGATAGAATGTTGATAAAAATCGTAAATATTTATATGGCTTGATTATTTTAGCTCTACTAGTTTCGAGTCACAGAGGAACTCTTCATCATGAGCAGCGTGCAAGATCAGTGACGTCACGCAGCCTCTGACAGCATTTTTCATTTTTTGACGTGCGTAAACCGGCATTTATAATTAATGTATGTATTTTTATTAAGTATGTCTTACAATAGTTATTATAAAACATTTGTATGACTTATAATTTCGTCATTTGAAGTGTATTTCTTTCTTCAATTATACATTTACGAGAACAGAATTAAACGTAAGAGAGAGGAGCGAAACATAAAAACGGAAAAACTTAAACCAATACTTTTATGTTAACGCTAATCGTTACGAAACATAAGGAAACTAATTCTCCTCGCTTCTATCCTAAGTTTGCCTCGTTTTCCGCTTAAAAATAAGCGCAGATAAAAGACAAAAAAATAAGGTTTTAGTGGATGATAGAAGTTTCCTTGAAACACTTATAAAAAAAGGATTTCCACGAACTTAGTTGTAATGGAAAATCGAGTAGGTACGATCACTATATCGTGGATGAACACGACACTTGAACGAGTACCGGAAAATTTACTGAGAGGAATTCAGTATTTTCCAAAAACGTTGAATTTGTGCTAAGAAATTTTCCTACAACACGAATACACATAGAAAAGTGGTCAAAATATTCGAAACATCTAATTCAATACTCCCTTTACAAGTCTCTGATATTTTTATTAAATTCTGTGCCGGCAACACAGAGAACGGAATACTGGGACATGAACTTTGAAATTTGAACGGTGTCAATGTAAATAGCGATTTACAAGCTATAGTGAGTACAAAATATTGCTTGAGTATACGTCACGTACACCAGTTTTTCTTTTTTAAAAACATTTTCTGTATCTGGAAATAAAATAATAAATAAAAAGCTTACGTATGGCAACCTCATACCATATGTGTACAATATACGCCATAAAATAGTTCAAACTTATTTTGAAAGCAGTTTTTTATATAAAAACGTTGCCCCACACTAGGATTATCTCCTGTGTCGTGGGTGCGTGTACAAACATACAAGTTCACATACACATGACACCCAGACCCGAAACAACGATTTGTGGATCACACAAAGTGTTGTTCCGTGCGGGAATCGAACCCTCGATACGTTGCACGGCAGCCGATTGCCCAGCCACCGCACCAACCGTGCAGTCAGTGCAGTTTGAAACTGCCAAAAATTACCTTCTAAGAAATACCTTTTTATAAACCCAGTAATTTGTAGCAAAATCAATATAGAATATGATCAAGCCCATTTAGACTTCACAACAAAACTCTCACTTGTAGAGGGGTGTATGTAGATACGTCATATTGCGCCTACGTCGGGTATAAATGATGACATTACAATGCATAGACCACAATACTGCGGTCGGCATGGCTTTGCAATAATGCCGAGTTCTAACTGAATGACAATACGAATATCCGTGGTTTTGTTCTTAGTTATTCCTGACTACATGGCTAGTATACTGGTAAACGTGTATTGTCTGTACTGAACAGACGTATATTATTATTTAATTATGTAACCCTAGCTTCTGCACGCGGCTCTGCTCGTGTTCTGTGAGATAAAAATTAGTTATCCCAAACCATTTTTAAAATTTTATTCCGATATCTTAGATATGATAGCGGCCAAACGTCGGCCCATCGAATATAAAAAAAAACCTTCAGCCGTTTTGACATGATTGTGTAACAAACATACACACACTCACAACCTTTCGCATTAATAATATTAGCAAGAAGAAGATACGGGCGTTGCTAAGTCTCATCTAAAGAGTTTTACTAGCTGTGATCATGCCACTATAGGGCAAGGGCTCCCCATACTCCTTTCATTCCTCTCAGTAGGAAAGTACTAAGTAAAAAGGAAACAATATTTCTTAAAATAATGCATGAAATGTAACGCCCATGGGGGAAAAGAGAGAATAGTCAGCAAAGCCTTGCGCCGAAACCACGAAACTTAGAGACGAGATAATCGAGAGAAAGAACAGGAATGTACATTGAAGTGACTAGAATTATGTGACTATTACCGCTTGTAAGAAAAAACCCACAAGTCTTTTACAAACTTTTCTTTGTCTAAAACCGCAAAATCGTGTTTTCTATTAAGATTACTATTTGCGTAATTCCAAGCCAGCCTTTATAAAGTTCAAAAGTACCTGTACAACGTGATTCAGGCACGAACGAAGTTATTGTTACGGAATTTTAATGAAATTACGTTTCAGATGAAGTTTGTTAAGAACAATCTTTGGATTTCTCAGGTATAAATAAATTCCCCGCAATAACTAATTGTGTATAAACGTGTCTAACAAGCGAATTTGGTTAGACATACGTATCTGATTAAAGCTAATCACGTAAAGATGAGAGCCTATTTATATCAATGCCAAAATTAAAAAGTTTGTAAACCCACCGACTAGATGTGTGGCAGGTGTTATCAATCTGAAGGGTCTTAATCTTTGTGGTTACCAAAAATAGTCTAAAAAGGTTCTCAGTTCAATGCCTTTAGCCAAACGCCACTTTAGCGCTTGTCTACAGAGAGAGTAGAAATCAAAATGTATGGGGATGACACTGACAAGTGTCAAAATTTACGTCAATCCCATATAATTTGTTTTCTATTCTACATGTAGACAAGAGCTAAATGGCATTAGGCTACAGCTGCAGGATCGATTATATTATACATATTACTGTCCATAATCATACGTCATAGAGTATTAATAACTTACCTTCAAATCACACGTTGTGTTAAGTAGCAAGTTGGAAGGCTTCAAGTCTCTGTGCAGAACATTTGCCGAGTGTATGTACTTCAGCCCGCGGAGGATTTGATACAGGAAGTAACAGATGTGATCGTTGCTTAGTTTCTACAACAAAATTGTTCATTTAAAACCAATTTTACTCAATGATATTGACTTATAAAATAATATGTAATATAATCTCATCATCACGCCTTTTATGTCCGAAGGGGTAGTCAAAGGTGCACATTACGGCACTTAATGCCACTGTACAATGTAACACCAACTTTTCACTATTTATGCTATGAGTCCTATGTAATAGGGGGTGAGCCTATTGCCATATACCGAGCACAATTCCAGACTCCGTGTTACCACTGAGATTTTTTTAAAACCCATTAATTATTTTACCGACCCGGTAATCGAACCCGAGACCCCTTGCCCGGCAGTCGCACTTGCGACCACTCTGCCAACGAGGCAGGCAATTACAAATTGCAGTAATTGTTGTAAAAATCAAATATCCACTCTGAAGTTAATCTATTAAAGAGTGAGACGTAAGTAACATCGAACAATGAGGACAAGAAGAGACAACGATACTCTTGTTAACAACTTCAGAGTATTCCGATTCAGAGTGGCTAAGATATTTTAGGGAGACGCTCTTAACAAATCATTTCTATAGATACCATCTGGAGCGGGACTAATTAATTGAATATTTTGATGTGTTAATTAAATAAATTAATTAATTATATTACGAGTTCGAAACAAATGTAATTTTAATTAATCACTCTTATGCTGATAAAGTTGTTGGGCAAAGTTCGACGGTCGTTACTTACCTGTGTTTTTAACAATTTGTAAAGGTCTGTTTCCATTAAACATTGTACGATGTAAACATCCTTCATTGAGTCTATGGTTTCAGCCCTTAAAATGTCTCGGATGTCGATTATCTGCGAAAGAAATATATTGTTAAAAACAAAGAAATCTCTATTGTTACATAATCACTACATAGTATAAAACAAAGTCGCTATCCGCCGTCTGTCTGTCCCTATGTATGCATAGATCTTTAAAAGTACGCAACGTATTTTGATGCGGTTTTTTTAATAGATAGTGTGATTTTTAAGGAAGGTTTATATGTGTAATACATGCATATTGCACCCGTGCGAAGCCGCGGCGGGTCGCTAGTGTTATGATAAAATAAAAACAAATGAAGACTATCCTGCATTCCTTATTTCCAACTTCACTGATATCTCACTAATTAAAGACATTATCACGTTCACACAGACACATGCATTTCCTAAATAATACTTATCTTAATCTTAGCTTAGTCATGGAATATAAATTAATACGCAAATATAAAAACTTACATTTTCATGCTTAAACCGAGTTAAGATTTTGATTTCCCTTAGCGTCCTCTGACAATAAGTCTGGTGCTCAAACGGTGATATTTTCTTGATGGCAACTTTCGTTTTCTTTATATTGTCGTGCGCGGATCTGAAACAATAAGAGACAATAAATAACTCACGGACGCATTACTTGTACCTAACAATTTCAGAGTCGCTGCTCAAACATAATTTATATTGATAAATAATGACATAGAGCCCTTTTGTTATATTTTTTTTATCCTCGAGGAAAAAGCTCGACCCAGATTTTCGGTACACATCAAGGTCACGGTTGGTTTAGGGTTGCCGGGGTTTAAATATCATTTTACCAGAATATTGCCTGGTTGCTTATTCTCTTATTTAGGACAGGGACACGGGTATTCCGTTCTCGGGTCAGGTTTTTGCCAAGGGTTTCGATTTGGACAATAGTATGTAGAGGTAACCTAAATTGAAACCCGAAAGGTTGTTGTTAAGTACGTAGAACATGATTTAAGTTGACTAGTCGATTAATCATATGGAAGTTTTTTAAAGGCTTACTAATTAGATACTCTGAAGTATAAGTAAGTAAGTAAACCAAAATTTTTCCCCTGAACTTTAACTGTAGAAAATGTATACTATGATTTATTCTTTAAACCCAAATTTTAGATTCTGTTATTAAATTCTCATATTTTTTCCAATTCAAGAAATATCGACAATCCGTTACCATAAGACTGAATTTATTTATTTATTTATTAAAACTTTATTGCACATACAGTGAAATTGGCGGAGTTAATGCCGTAGGCATTTTCTGACAGTCGACCATTGGGTGGTGCAGAATGTTAAAGCGGTAGGTGCAAAATTATTGCAATTTATTCAATCACTTAGTAAATTACCGAATGAACACACATTCAGTGCCATAATATTATTTTGTTAATGTATATTACATAACGTAATGTTATGGTAAAACATGTGTGAACCATAACACGCCCGGCTGGCAAACTTCTGAACAATTTTTAATCAACGTCAGAGGAAAACAGATGTTCAGCCATTATTTCCAGTGATTAGCAATAAGTTGCTACCTAATGTGTTATACATACCTACTCATTATAGGTAAGTACACATTGGAGTTCTACGAAACTATTTGTAAATACCTAAAATTTCACTTTCCTGTTTGACCGTCCACCGAAGGTTTAAGTAGGTACTAACTACAAGCAATCAATTGGGATGATGACATGGTATGAAAATTTAAAATCGCATTAGTCCGTTTATATTTATAATGAAAAAATATTATATATTATTTTTTTTATTTTGTCATATATGATTGTCATAATGATTTAAAATAATCTAGCAGACGGACATTCAAATAAAAATTAGGCATCTCCCCTATTCTCCGAAACTAGGTATGCTTTTCATGTCATTGTTTTTAACAGGAGGACCAAGCTATGCATTTAATTTACAGAGCATTTCCAAACTTTTTTGCTAGGCTCCGATATCGATATTCATACTTAGACTCGCTCGAATCATCGAGAACGAGACAGTTTCTCGATTAAATCTTAAACATCCAGACGAATTTTTAGTATACTTATCACAAAGTTTAAGCCAATAGAACTTAAGTTTCAGTTTTATTATCCATCAACTAACAACTAATAGAATTGTTTAGAATAATTGTTATTATATGAACCTCAGTTAAAGTACTTGATTAGATATAATACCAAGTAATCAATGTAAGCAATGAAGTTGTCGAAAGATAATGATAACAGTTCATTAATAACAATGTAGGTACATAAATAAGTACTTAGGTAAGTGCAAGCTTACTCATAACTAATATTAATATTGGATATAACAAAACAATTTCATAACGCACTCGGTTATTGCAAAACTCGTCATTTTATTGCATTGGTATCAGTTTAATCATAGATTGAAAACATGATATTCGTTTTTATCCGGTAAAGCAGCACTCTTTTCAGGAGAAAACAGAAGGACCTGTATAATTAGTACGGACTACTACGGGCTGGTGCTAAAAATCAGCGCCGTGGACTCTAGCCTCAGTGCTCGAGCCATAGTATTAAACTGTCAAACACCAAGCGGTCACCGGTGACCGCAACCTATTGTTCTTTAATTGTGTCTATTAATACGGTACTCGACGAGTTAAGCTGAGCTCCAGCCTATTGAGCTGCGACGCACCAAAGGCTTTTTGTGTGTACCTGTACTCTTGATGTGTGTCGTGGCGTAATAAATGGCTTTTCTTTCTTTTTTTCTGTTTTAGAAACAAGTAGGTATAAGATGTGACAGTCAAAAAACAAACATTTAGCAATCCCAAAAGTAAATAAATACCTGCTTCTACATCAAATAAATAAGACTTAGCGCCAAACGATGTCGATTAAACTAACTTTCACTTCAATGAGCTTTTAAGAGCTGTGAAAATTCATCCGATATCGGTTGGTACTATATCAAAAATCGACACTCGTTAATTGAGGCCTTAGTACGAGTTTGATTTACGTTTAATTGTAACGAGTACGCTTTCGGCAATCTGATTGGCCGGCGCCAATGAACCAACCAATCAGAGCGCCGAACGCGTACTCGTTACGATTACTTTAAACGTAAAACAAACTCGTACTAAGGCCTCTGTTTATTAAGCACAAAAAAAGAATTTTGCCTATAAAAATATGGTAAGTAAGAATCACTATTCTACGACAAAAAATTCAGGAAAGTAGGGTAGAATCAAAACCCCCTATTATCCTAACGTGAGTTGCAGAAGAGGCTATAAAAAGTTAGAATAAAGTGATAATTTATTATAGAAGAGTTTTTTAAACGGGTTCGAAAATGGAGGTGTGTAACTTTTCACATAATCTCTTCAAGGACTCAACTTGAAATGGGAGGGTCTGGCGGTAACATATTTCAATAAAAAAGTTACAACGTTTATCTTTTATGCCCCTTTATTTCAGTAATTTTTATCCCGTTAGGTCTGCTTTGATAAAATAACAGTTACTTTACCAATACCAAAGGAGTTTTCAATTTTTTTCAAACCATTTATCATTTACCCGGTACTCTGATAGAACTCCGTTGTTCGCTCTTTTAAGTACGCAAAAAAAAAACAATTGTCATAGTATCTAGCTTTCGTTTGTATCACCAACACAGTTTTATCAACATGAATATAATATGGGTAAATACAAATATGTTCGAAAACATATGTATCTTCTACTAAAAAATATATTTGCAGTAAATATAGATACCTAACATAATTCGAATAATAAGATATTTTTAATGTCATGACTAAAATAGCTGCAGTGCTTGATACTACGGGGACCACGGCTAATTTAAATAATGTTAATGTTTTTACGTTTTACCATGAGTCATTGTATCTGACACAATAGTTTCTAGGAAAATTATTCATTAAAGTAATGTCGATTTAATTAAAAATGTGCGATACGTATCAGAATATAGATCTATTCAAATTACGCCATGTTTAAATTGCCAATTCGTTTTAAATGTTAACCTGGGAAAGTACGTAACTAATTATAAAACAAACGAATGAAAAACTTCTGACTTCAACCTTATTTAAGGTCCTAATTTAGACGGTTATTCTAATGACTAATTAGATAAAAATAATGCTAAAGTTTAAAGTAAACTTATAATTTCATCCCATTACGATTTGTAACAAATCAAAATAAATTATTGTACTTAACCTAACCAAATAATTCCTATTTGAACTGTATGTAGTTCCTGATTTCGGTACATTTTAAAAAGTTGCACTGATTTGACGTTATATATTTTCGTAAACGTAGTAAAATATTACACATCTTTTATAATGCAAGTGGAAGTACCTCGAAGGAACCTCCATTTTGACCTCTTTCAACGCGTAATTGTATTAATTAAATTTGTCTATAGACATTATTCCCACAACTGGGACTCAGTCCTCTGAGTGAAAGGTACAAGCCACCATAATTACGGTCTTGTAAATGTCAAGACTGTTATCAAACAGTAATTAATGGTTAAATTAATGCATTATTAACAGAATCCATACTTTTATCGATCCAAAAGACTATGTCGAAAAGTTTTTAAATCGTCATACGAATTTTATACAAGTGTTAGAATAGGACTGACAGAATTCTACTATGGTATATGACTCCCTTATGGTAATAGTTGTCAGTTGTATGGGAATTTTGAAGCCCCTATGAAAACTTAAACCTAACATTGTAAACTATATTTCAGAAGAGACACACAATAGTCTTTATGTATTGCTTAAAACATTGTTCTATCATAAAATACACAAGGATTTTTATTCAACACAACTGTAGAAGAAATTCTGTTTTATGATAAGTCGTAACAACTACCCAACATTTCACCCAGTGTCCCAGATATTTCATAACAACAATGTCTATCATACATCTTGTTTATCCTCGCAAAGCCTTAACGGGCAGCTACAATTTATAACACAGAACCTAAAAGAGAATAAGAATAAAATATAATATCAAGAGCAGTTTAAAAACTTAAGCTGCAGCACTTTGCGGCAGGACGAATTAGCGACTTCCGCGCAATGAACCGCCATTTTAGTTCCAGTGACCGTACAAACTTTATTTTGCAGCTCATTTTATGTGAAAATGGACTCTATTGCGACTGCTCATAACCCGTGCCATGATTGTCGCAAGTGTAAAACAAATATTGAATAGGTGTGATGCGGGCTGGTCCAAATAGACTCGCTTACTAGAAAAAGGAGTAAAGTTTAATTTTCTGTTATTTTGACGAAGTTTTATAAAATGGGTACTTACGTCATTAAAATCGTACAAATGTTTAATTTCCATTTGACGTTAATACTAGCAAATGCATCGTAGAAACTTGGGGAAAAATCAACATCAAACTAATCTGCTCTGCAAATAATTTGTATGAAAGTTGTAGAGTTAGTGAGCAGTTACGGAGAATATATGACGACACTTTAGCAGTTGGCTTTAAGTTTCGCTCATTATCGTTAGCTAAGACACTAACTAGCAAAAAATCTTTGTAATCAACTAAGTTTTAATGTGAAAAGGGGACTTCGGTTAAATATGATAATGTCATGATGGCTTTCGCTGTAAACTTAAAGAATAGTTATACTGAGAAACGCATGTGAAAATCGGTTGATATCACCCAGAGGAT